CTCTCATTTGTGGCTCCATTGGGGTGTCAAACTGGAATTGATGGTTCTGTTGGGGATGTCTCTGTCAGGGTGTTTGACATTGAGATTGAAGGCGCCACAGGGGATGTTTCCATTGGGGTGTTTGACATTGAAATTGAAGGTGCCGCAGGGGATGTCACCATCGGGGTGTTTGAGGTTGAGATTGAAGGCACTGCAGGGGATATCACTGTCGGGGTGTTTGACATTGAAATTGAAGGTGCCACGGGGGATGTCTCCATCGGGGTGTTTGACATTGAAATTGAAGGTGCCGTGGGGGATGTCACCGTCGGGGTGTTTGAGGTTGAGATTGAAAGCGCCGCGGAGGATGTCGCCGTCGGGGTGTTTGAGGTTGAGATTGAAGGCGCCGCGGGGGATATCACCATCAGGGTGTTTGACATTGAAATTGAAGGTGCCACGGGGGATGTCACCGTCGGGGTGTTTGACATTGAAATTGAAGGTGCTGCGGGGGGATGTCACCATCGGGGTGTTTGAGGTTGAGATTGAAGGCGTCGCAGGGGATATCACCGTTGGGGTGTTTGACATTGAAATTGAAGGTGCCGCAGGGGATGTCTCCGTTGGGGTGTTTGTCATTAAAATTGAAAGCACCACAGAGGATGTTGCCATCAGGGTGTTTGAGGTTGAGATTGAAGGCACTGTTGGCAATGGCCCCATCAGGGTGTTTGACATTGAAATTGAAAACATGACCTCCACAATATGGTCATCTGTGGCATGATCTTGAATACGTCAAGTTAGCAGAGCACTTTATTGACTGTGGCAGAGCATTTGATTGACACTGACAGGGAATTGAGAATTCAAAATGTTGACTCCCGCGGGGCATTTGATTGACTCCGACGGGGCATTCAAAATTCAATATGTCAGCTCTGGCGAAGCATTTATTCAAGATAGAGGAGTCAATCCACTACAGCATTTTTAAGCTGGTGCCCAGATCATCCATCCATGTGAACTGAAACATGCAATGGCTTGGAATATGTGATTTGCAGAAACAAGAAATATATTGTCAAGAAATCAACACACAATATTGATGAAAGGTCCTGCTAGTAGCCATGACAAATCCTCATAATACAAAAGAAAGATCCACTGAATTGGAGGTCAGATAGTTGATGTGTGCACCATTTAGTTTTTAGAAGTAGAACAACTCTGGCAGCCCACCTTACCAAATATGGGCCAGCGGCAACCTAATATGGAAGGAGCGCATTATTCACACACCATCTGAAACTACACACTGCACCGCGCTCATTGGCGATGCAATGCGCCAACAAAACAAAGACATTGGGGGGATCCCAGAAAGGAATAGAATCATTTGGAATAGTTTTCTCAGTGATTGAAGAAGTTTTTGTGAACAGACCTCGGAAAGAGCTATTTGGTGCATGAATCTTTATACAAACCAGTTGCACAACATGCCATTTTGCATACATCAAGTTATATTTTTTTTTCTTCCCTCACAACTGCTTCCCCCACCTATCTGAATTGATTCTAAAGTATGTAGGCTATATTTGGGGAAAGTATGGGAGCATTTCAACAAGATTTAGATAGTGAAAGGAAATAAGAAAGAATGTGGTTTCATGTTTAGAGTCATATTTTCACCCTTTCAAGCTCCAGCTCCCCCAAACCATCAGAAAACTGCTTCGGAGCAGGGGATATATATTCTGCCATATGTTAACTATGTATAAGAAAGGCTCAGATGTTGAGATTTGGTAGCAAAGTATACAGAAAAGTCAACAATATCATGTTGCGAGATATTTCATGCATTCAACCTCATTTCTCCACCATGTGCAT